CGCGGGGTCGGGGAGGCGGGACGGAGCGGGCGCGCGACCCCGACGGTGCGGGAACGGGAGCAGGTGAGGCGCGGGGGGCGCGCGGGCAGGGCAACAAAGAGACGCAGCTCGCCCTATTCAGGTCGGCTCGGGTCGCTCCAGTCACGGTTGCACCGGGTCTTGAAATTCCTTCCCAACTCCTCCGCGGAGGGCTGCGGCTTGGTTTTGGACCAGGCTTTGAAATCTTCGGACTAGCTGTGCCTCTCGGAGTATGCGCAATGTGGAATTTGCCGGATAACTTGGGGACCAGGGGCGTAGCGAAACTCGTAACTCCTTGTTTGGGTTTTGGAGCAAAGCGTTTTCGCTCTGGAAGAAAGAATTCTTGGTTCTACAAATTACAACTTGTGATTTCTGCAAATCCCGGTTGGCTGTGCCCCCCCCCCCCCCCCCCCGCCTTATGATAATCGAGTATGCTGGAAAACACATTCAGAATATTTATGAGCTCCAAGTGCCAGTCGCTCTATGCCTAATAGTTACTGATGGTTTTTTGTTGTTTTAGTTTGGGATATGACAAGTTCACTCTGTAAATAGATGTTTTGTTTGTAGAACATTTAGGATTTAGCATAGGTTATCTATGCGTAAGTGTTGGGCCGTGAGAAACAAGATTGAGTTAATGCAATAAGATGTAGATGTTCTAAAAAATGCCATATATTTTATTTTTAGTGATTACTTTATGTTAAAGTAATAGTGGCAAAGGCACATCTACATGTGCTGACTACCTTAGGGTGAGGCCACTCCTACGATTCAGAGTTAAAATGTATTTTCAAAACTTAGGAGTGTGGAGAAGAAAAATTAAAAACAAGTTCACAAATAGCGCAGGCTACCTAAAATACATCTGCTTTCTTATTCTGTAATTGAATGCTTTTTTTTTTTTTTTGTCTTTTTCAAACAGGGTCTCCCTGTAGCCCCAGCTGTCCTGGAACTCACTATGTAGACCAGGCTGGCCTTGAACTCACAGAGATCCGCCTGCCTTTGCCTCCCAAGTGCTGGGACTAAGGCATGCGCCACCACGCCGGGCAACTGAATGCTTTTATAGAAAAATTATTTTTTTCTTCTAAAAATGATTTATAAATTGTCTATTATTTTTAGTAGTTAACACCTAAAACAGCCCTCCCCCAAACATCTTAATTTTCAACTTCTGGATTTTAATATTATATTCAAGCATACTGTACATAACTGAAAATTAAGATGTTTAAATCACTGATAAATTTGTAAATTATTGAGCAGGACATTTACCAAAGTTTTATATGAATAAGCAAGAAGCGAGTCATTCTTAGGGATATATCTTGGGGGAAAATGCACTGACATGTAACTTTCAATTAAATTATAACATCTGCCAAAATAAAAAAAGGGAAAACACTGGCTTTTCCTTATTCCTGATGTTGTAAAACATTTCAAATCCCAGGGACAGTTGGGGATTTGAGTTTGTTTAATCAGAACTTAAGTTAATAATTAGCATGGAGGGTAGTATCTGCTGCTTTCCAGGCCTAGGTCTAGCTTTGTAGTTATGATAGTACCATATTTTAAGAGTCACTAAATCAAATATCTTTCCTTTATTTCCAGTTACCACAATTCTATGTAGGACTGAAAGCTACCACTTTATCTCATGAAGTTTTTTTGTATACCACATTTTTTTTTTTTTTTTTTTATGTGTATGAGTGTATTGCCTGCATGTGAGTGTACCCGTTGTCATGCAATGCCCCGGAGGGCAGAAGAGGGCTTCAGATTACCCTGGAACTGGAGTTAAGGATGGTTCATAGTTGCCATGTGGGTGCTGGGAATCAAACCCGGGTCCTCTGTAAGAGCAGCCACTACTCTTAACGCTGAGCTATCTCTCCAGCCCCATGTGTGTTGTTTTTCTTAAGTTTACACAAACACTATTGGTTTATTCTTCTGGTTCTTCCTCTGCCCCTGTTTTTAACCTGTTTTGTCTTTCTGGAGGAAAACTACAGCCCTCTGCTTCCCAAACCAAACCAAAATATAAACAACAAAAAAATTAGAAAACCTTGATCAGGGCCCTAATTAGAGATACAGCTCTGTATGTAATTATAACATGCTTGTAATCTCCTTAAGGACAGCGATGGCTTAGGATTCATCTTAGATTTCCTCAAGATGCTTATCACTCTACCGTGTGCTCAGAGACGTAATGCACATTTGTGGAACGAAATTTCAAAACGTTAACTTGGGCAAAGCCTAGGGTAAGAGCTAAACCCATTCTCTAGCTTTGCCATTCCCCAGGTCTGGGAGCTCATCATCTCTAGGACTGAGCTGCGGACTGGCAACAGGGACAGAACAGAGGACTGGGGTGAAGGAGAAATCCGGGATTTCCAGCTAGGTCCATACTGGAGTGAAGCTGAGAAAGCCGCTTCCCGAAGCCTGGATTCTGTCCACTAGATGAGGGCTAAGGATTGACTGCCCCACCGCGCGGCCGGGCCCCAATCTGGTAATCAGCTCTGACCCAGCCTCGCTTAGTGATTTATCCTCGAAGGGGCGGAGCTGAGTGAGAGCGGAGCGAGGGGTGGAAATGCCCAAGGTTTCGTTAAACTTGAGCAAATAAGTTTAGTTGATAGAAAAATCCAGAGCTGCCTCTCGCCCCTTGTTTATTTCAGCCCAGAAGTTACTACTCACAGGCGTGGTTTAAAAGTAGGGTCTTTGGGGGGTGCTACGAGCCAGGACCCTATCAAACCGCGCACCCAGTCTCCGAGCCTGGTGAGCCGGCCCCTTTAAATCCTGGCGGGGGGGGTGGGGTGGGGGGGG